CAAACGGGGTGCCTCAAAGAATTATTTTAAAAATGTAGATGCACAGGCTTCATTGCGAGCCTGCTAAGTCAGAAGAGGCAGCGCGTACTATTTCTCTTTAGGGAGAGCCCCTCACTACATTTCCCCAAATGCACAAATCTCTAAGACCATTGAGCATCCAGCTTTCCCAGTTTAAATGATGGCAATGCCCTTCTGTTTGGGCCTCAGCAGAAAACTATGTTATTTTTGCAACACCAAACTGTAGATGTTCGATAGCCATGAAAACAAAAAAAGTTTTGCCTATAGACATGCAAATTCTATCCTGTCTGGTAACGGTTCAACTGATTTTCCTTTCCCTCACGACAAGCAATCAATTTTGCCTCCTTCACACACTCATTTCATTATTCCCGACCCACCTGGGTGTGTTCTTCAGTTTTTCTTTTGAAACTGTTGTAACAGCTGCCTGAGTCCCTCAGTGATTACTGAGTTAAATAAGATGTTTAGCATGTGTCCACTTTATATCTGAATGAGAGTTGTGATCTTACCTAATTTCAGGAAATTTCTCTTGAACACACCAATGGCGAGTACTTTCCTCTTCCATTCTTTGGCCATCGGCTACTGGTGCTCTTTATTTTGGCTGAACATTCAGGGGTTTCATCAGAAAAGAGCTCCTGCCCTTGTAACCTTTCACCATATGCATAAGGTCTGTCCGAGAGTTCCTGGAAGAAGGTGGAATAACCAGAAGATTTTATACTTCCAACTAAGGCAAAGGAGAGTCAGAGCATTGGTTCCTAATCTTTTCTATAAAAATGAAAAGAACATACATTAGACTAAAATTAAATAAGCCCATCAAATTTTCACTGGGCTCTAACTTAGCTACCTTGCTTACTCCTTCCTTACTTGTGTACTTGATTGATTGATCAGAATTTACACATAGTTGGAAACTTTTCTTTTTAATGCCCCTTATGCCGTCTTGTATCTTATGCAAGATATGGAAGATATAAGGTCCCTGTCATCTTTCTCAGAACACAGATTCACCAACAAGAACTAATGTTATTTATCCAACAATTAGTTATTGAGCACCTTCTAAATGCCATGCCATTATATTGTCAAAAACATCATTCCAGACAGTCAACAGCCTAGAGAGAGACCGACAATGCAAATCAATACAAATAAATGTAAATTTTTCAAATATTGGGACCAATAGATAAACTGCATGTTTTGAAGCAAAACTGCAATACATTTTGCAATTCAAAAAATTTCCCTACTCAGAAAAAGGAGAGGCCAAGGTGAGCTCGAGTCATGGAAGGTACTATCTTTTGCTGAGTAACTAATTCAATCCCCTGCTCCCCGGCCAACTTAGAGGCATAAGAGAACCATTTACTATGCTCATGGATTCTGTGGGTGGGGAATTTGGAAAGGCCCAGTGGAGATGGTTTATCTCTCCTTCATAAGAGTAAGAACTGAGCAGGAAGATCCAAAGGCTGGAGGTGATTCGAAGGCTAGAGTTGGAATCACGAACATGCATTCACCAGCCTTTGGCAGGTGACATGGGCTGTCAGCTGGGACTGCAGCTGGTGCTAACAGCCAGAATACCCACACATGGCTTGCTCATGTAGCCTGGGATTGCTCACATTACTGTGACTGCAGTCCAAGAGGGAGCATTCTCAGAGAGCCAGGGGAAGGCTGCATGGCCTTCTATGACAGGCCCTAGAAGCCATTTTGTCCCTTTCACCACATTTTGTTCAGGGCTAGCTTCAAAGGATGTGACCTGTGCAGTCACCCAGGACCCCTCACTTAGAACATCCTATACTTGGTTTAATACTCTGCTGTCACCGTCTTGAAATTCCTAATAATATTTACACAAAGGGCCCCACATTTTTATTTTGCACTGGGCCCTACAAATTATGTAGCCAGCCCTGAATCTCTTTATCCAGACAATTGCAAAGGACTGCCCACACTCCCAGTGTGGGGATAAAGACTCTCCGTCTTAAAGGGGCAGTGGGAAGGTTCTGGAAGAGTATGTGGGACTGGAAATATTGTTGTGACCTGTTTTAGAAAAGGCAATCTTCCCTAGACAGTTTGTGATGAAGTTAAGTCATCACTTGGATTTTGGAAAGACTTTCCTCCAGAGCCTCCCACAAAAATATATCCAGGTCCCCCTTGTTCCACAAGGCATCCCAAAGGGAGTAAAAAAGCAATATGTATCTGTCAATCCTTCCATTCAGCAAATCCTGACTGAGCACAGAATGGGGAACATTTACAGATGACTCTCAGACACCCAGCCCTGAGTGGACTTGGTGTTCAGAGTGATGGAGTCTGTGAAGGGAGAAGAGAAAGCAAAGGGCGAACTACTGTTAAAAAAAAAGAGAAAACACTGACCCTCAGCCCTGTGTCCAGGGTCAAACGTGCTTTTGACAGGAAGCTACACCCTGGGTGTCCCACAGAGTCTTGCTCAGGGGGACAGCAGACTGGAAGACAACTGATCTGAGTCGGGGCAGGCCAGTGTCGCATAAACAATGAATCTTGGAACACTGAAAAAATAAAATTAAATTTAAAAAGAGAAAACAATGTGGTGCCTTCGGTTAAGCATCTCCCTTCAGCTCAGGTTATGATCCCAGGGTCCTGGGATCAAGCCTCATGTTTGGCTCCCTGTTCAGTGGGGAACCTGCTTCTCCCTCTCCCTCTGTGGCTCCCCCTGCTTGTGTGTGTTCTCTCTCTCTCTGTCAAAAAAATAAATAAAATCTTTAAAAAAGAAAAGCCCCAAATGGAGTCATTTGCACCCTTTAACAGCAAACCAGTAAGTAGTGGATCAAGGTAAAGATGCCAAACAAAACAAAAACAAGGGAAATAAAAAGGTAAGGTGGTAAGGGTTTTGGTTTATTCAAAAAGGGGTTCCAGGGGCGCCTGGGTGGCTCAGTGGTTAAAGCCTCTGCCTTCGGCTCAGGTCATGATCTCAGGGTCCTGGGATCGAGCCCCGCATCGGGCTCTCTGCTCTGCAGAGAGCCTGCTTCCTCCTCTCTCTCTCTCTGCCTGCCTCTCTGCCTACTTGTGATCTGTCAAATAAATAAACAAACAAAAAAAAATCTTAAAAAAAAAGGGGGTTCCAGGAGCCCAGAGGGAAGGCCTGAGAGAAGCAGCACTTTGCCATCTCACTAACCATCCCATTTCTGCCTGTTCACCAGGCTTCCTGGAAGGCCACAGCTGTCCCAGGCTCAGAACACAGTGCAAGGCCCGAGGATTTGGCCCTCAGCGTTTCTGCAGGATGATGTCTGGCAGCTAGGCCTGTTGACTCCCCGCTACCGGCTTTCCTCCTACCCCAGTCACCACTTCTCAATCCTTTTAGGATTAGCTCTAAAGGTTAGATTTCCCTGGGGCTCAGCCCAAGGTTCTCCTGGCATTTAAACTTCTCCCTCTTTAGGTAACTGCCTTTATTCCCACAGAGTATCTCTGCCCCCTCTTCCTCCAGACTCATTCATCTATCCCTTTGCAACTGGACGTCTACACTTGGATGAATCACTGCCACCTCAAACGGAGCATGTCTAAAATGGAACTCTCTACTTTGCCCCACACCCCGTTCCCTCCAGTCTTCCCATTTCAGTAAGCACTTACCTCCACCACCCTCACCCCCCACATCCAATCCATCCTTTAAGTTCTTCCTTCAGACCACAACCCAGATCCACCCACTTCTCACCAGCAACTGAGCCACTAGCTCCCCTCACTCAGGTTGCTTTGGCAACTTCTTAATTTATCTCTTGCCTCTCCTCTTGGCTCCTTGTCCTCCACCCTCTACAAAAAAGCCGCAGTGATCTTTTCAAACCATGTATCAAGGGTGCCTGGGCCTCCCTGTGGTTAAGTGTCTGACTCTGATTTTGGCTCAGGTCATGAGATCAAGCCCCTTCAGACTCTATGCTGGTTGTGGAGCCTGCTTCAGATTCTCTCTCTCCCTCTGCCCCCTCCCCTCGCCTCTCTCTCTTAAAAAAAAAAAAAAAAAAAAGGAATAGTAACAATAATAAAAACCTAAATCAGAGCAAGTCACTTTCTTGCTCAAACTGTTCAATGCTTTCCCATTACTTTCAGAATGAAAACAACCCCTCACTGTGGAGACCCTACAACACCGGGCTGCTCCGCCTCTCAGCCTCATCCCACATCCCCACTCTGTATTACCTAGCTTCTCTTTCTGGCACATTCTTTCAGCTATCCCCAAAGCTGCCTTCCGGGACGCAACTCAAAGGTCCCTTTTGAGGTCTAAGGAAAGAAACCTGCCTTCCTCATTAAATTTTAGACATTGTCTCTTTCTTCGTTTAGTGCCCTCTCTTTTCCCATACGTGCTAGAAGGGAAGCGCCACGCAATGGGAGTTCGCCACTGTGTCTCCACCGCCTGCCAGGGTAGCTGCTCACGTGTATTTCTCTAAAGGATTAACAGACGGCAGTTTTTATGTTTTTAAACATCTGTACTTGGCAAAGGAAAAGCTGACTATTCTGTGTGGTTACTTTAAAAAACGTTTATAAATCCGAGACTGTTGCAGTAGAGGAACTGGCCTCAAGCCCCCTGAACAACACAGTTTTAAGGATAGCGGGAGACGGAGGAAGGGAGAGAGGGCAAGTGCAGGGGGAGACGGCTGGGATGGCTGGAGGGGCAGGAACCATGGGCGAGTGACTAGATGGGCACGCGACGGGAATGCGCACCCAAGGGGCTGAGGAAGTCCAGAGCTCGCTTCCCTATGCCACCCACCTTCCGGGGTCACGGAAAGGACGCGTCAGGGAAGACCAGGCGCGGCGGGCGCAGGGGTATCCGCTGAGCGGGGCGCAGAGCAGCGAGCCACCCTCTTCCCCGGCCCTCAGCCTCGCACACGCTCCCCGCGCGCCTGCACGCCAGCCACGCACAGCCGCGCCCCCTACCGGCGCGCGCGCTCAGGTGAGCGCCCTCCGAGCCCGCCGCGCGGCTAGTGCGCGTGCGTGCAGGTGAGCGTCCCGCCCCGCTCCCGCTCCCTTTCCCGCCTCCGCCCCCGCCCCGGTGCTTGGCCACCTGCCGGTGAAACTGGTGGTGGATCGTTGCCCTCGGGTCGCTCCGGGGCGGGGACACGGAAACTGGCCATGGAAGGTACGTCGGGGGCTCGGGAGCCCCGGGCCCGGCCAAGAGAGCGGGACCCAGACCGGCACCTCCGCCCGGACCGAGACCGCCACCCCGAGCGACACCGGGACCGACCCGGGGACCGGCGGAGGGAGAGAAACGGGGGCGAGCGGAGGGACGGGGACCGGGGCAGGGAGAGGCACCGAGACCCTCGCCAGGACAGACACCGGGTCGGGGACCTTCGCGCCGGTGAACAAAGAGTCTGGGAAAAATCCCATCAAAGTCGGACGCGGGACAGACCCCGGAGGCCGACCTGGGACGCAGCCCCGCCCCCCTGGCCCGCACCTTGGGAAACCCCGGAGTTACCGCCCCAGAGGAAGGAGCGCTTCGGAGCCAGTGGCCGGGCAAGGTGAGGTGGGGCTGCGGGGCGCCCTGCGACCTGGGGACCCGGAAAGCCTGGGTCTGAGACACTCCCCCCTCTCCCCCGCTGCGGTGCTCCAGCGCCCGACTCCATGGTCTAGGAAGGCGGCTTCAAGGAAGAACGTGCCATTCCCCCTTTTGTGGTCTTAGAGGACACCTGGGAGGGAAGGAAAACCTTACGGTGCCCCACTTCTTGATCTGAACCCGATTAACAAAGCAGAAACCACCCCTGTTGGCAGTGGAAGGGCCGGGGACCAGATGAGGAGGAAGAGAAAACTTCAGGAGCGGAAAGGGAAGGAGTGGGAAGGAGGGTAGGTAGGTAGGGTTAACCTGAGGCTCCTCCCTGACCTCACCCCACCCTACCGAGACGTGCCCACAGGACCGCCCCGTGGGGCTTCGGACCCTTGTCCTGTGTTCCAAAACCAGCCTTCCAAAGTCCTGTCAGGGTCTGATAAGGTCAGCCCAGTGAAGGGTTAATAGTTAAATCTGTAACCTCTTGTAGGGGTATATGCATTTCAAAACAGACTGCTGGGAGAAGCTACTCTTAAAGCCAAAGAACTGAATCTACCTAAAATTCCCCCACTGAAGGGCAGAGATTGCCCACCGTTGTCAGTGAAGTCTTCTGGACAGCCTCCTGCAAATCCTCGGACTGTTTCAGATCCCACCTCCCTGAATGAACAAACTGGGCTGTCCCTGCCTTTTAGAGCACAGACGATTCTGGTAGGGTCTTGTGAGGTAAAAGCCTCATGCTATCCTGGAAGACTTAGGGAGCTGGGAGAGGGAGTGGAAGGGAGGAGAGGAGAAAGTCAGCTCTAGACTCCACACCCCTATCAGGAGTTGGGTCTTTTTTCCATCAAACATTCCATCCAGCTCCACAGATATTGCTGAATTCCCAGGTTATGTGCCAGGCCAACAAGGAGACAAGTAGGTACTGGAGTGACGACTGCCTTCTGGTTTTGGACACCTGCTCTTTTCTCTAAGGTAGAGTCAAGCTCCTCTCTGCTGTAGGATTTGAAGGTTTAAACTCAGTTCTCTTCCCAGTTGTGTCCACATAGCGGGAAAGCTGTTATCCCGAGCTTATGTTACATTATCTAAAACCAACTAGCCAAACTCTGACAAAGGTTATACCCATATACAGTCTGAGGCACGAGCTGTTGTGCGTTTCTGACCAAAACCACATTGCATTGGTAGCTCCCGAGCTTCATTTTGGGTTTCTTTTTAAATCAGTATCCTTGTCCCTCACCACGACCCCCTGCCCCCCGCCCCCACACCCAAGGTGAGTGAAGGGATTACTTTTGCTTTTTTGGCTCATAGCCAGTTGGTGGTTTGAAACCAAAAGACAATTTATTTCCGCCTTTCTTCCACACAATAAACTTTGATTTAATGGGCAGGGTGGAGGGGCCAGGGCTCCATTACTTAATGGGTGAGATCTACTGACAGTGTCCACAGTCTGGTAGGAGACTGACCGGTAAATCTGCCACTGCGGGGGAAACAGATTTGGAGAGAACAGATCCCCTGCCTGAGATCTGGAAGGTTTCCTGGAGGACATTGACCTCGAAGCTGAGTACTGGAAAAGGAGCAAGAAGGAGGGGACTTGGGTGGCTCAGTAGTTAAAGTTAAGCATCTGCCTTGGCTCAGGTCGTGATCCCAGGATCCTGGGCAGCCTGCTTCTCCCTCTTCCTCTGCCCCTCCCCCGCTAGTGTTCTTTTTCAAATAAATAAATAAAATCGAGAAAAGAAGAAAGAAAAGGAGCAAGAATGGTAAGACTGGGAGAGGAAATGAAAGGGGTTCCAAGCAGAGAACTAGCTTCCACAGTGACCTACAGAACAGGAGTGCAGGTCATCTTTGGGGGCCAGGGGAGAGGAGCAGTTCACTATGGTTGGGTCTTTGAGTGTGATGTTGTGAAGAGAGATGAGCAGGGCCATGTGTGCTGTGCTGAAAGTTTGGACTTTATCCAAAGCCATGAGAGTTTAAGGATTTCAAACCCCAGAGATCCATAATGAGAACACTGGAAGGATCCCTGGCGCCCAGCAGGTAGAAAGCTCGGGATATGCTGGATAAAGCGGGGGAAGGAAAGAAAGTTCCGAAACTAGCAGAGGAAAAGGGAGAGACAGGAAGACACACAAAGTTATCTGTATTACCCATATGCCTAGAGAATTATTGTGGATTCAGCCCTTTGCAAAGTAACAAGAGAAGGAAGAGAATGCCAGCCTGGGCATCAGAGTCTTGTGAACGTAAATTAGCTTTCAAGAAGGCCTGGTCCATGCTGAAATGGAAAGTTAGGCTCACAAAGGTGGCTCCCAGCTACCTGGTTAGATAGCTTCAGCAGGTGGGCAAACCAGCATCCAATCAGTGCTCAGAATTATAGGGATGTGTGGCATGGTGGCTTAGCAGTGTTGGGCCAAGTGTTTGGATACCCTGTGGGGCCCCTAAACCAGAGAATTCTCTGGAATATGAAATGGTGCAGCAAAATCTGTTTCTGTTCTGCACATCTCTTTAATGTCTCTTTAATGCCAGCGTGAGATGTTCAGGGTTCTAATATTGAACAAGCTGTTGAGTTTGAAGCCCCTAATGGCCACGTATGTTTTCAGTTACAGTGAACCCACTGCAGGGAGATACCTGCCCTCGAACCCCAGGTCTGGACTAGAGGAAGTGGAATATTACCAGTCAGAGGCTGAAGGACTCCTGGAATGCCATAAATGCAAATACTTGTGCACTGGGAGAGGTAAGCCCTTTGGGAGGCATTGTGACCGTTTACTGTTTGCTGATGGTTCTAGAAGGGGTCTGAGCTGATGAAGTGAAAATTCAAGCAGACTTCCCTTTTGGGTTCCTAACATTTTCATTTATACAACTGCATGAGGTTCTCATTCCCCAGCCCTCCAAAAAAGTAGGTACATCTGAAAAGTATAGTGAGATTTCCAGTGCTTCTCTTCAAATGTGTGGCAGTCAGGCGAGCAGCCATGCTTGCGGGTGGCAGGTGGAACCGCAGGAAGAACCAGCTGTGAGCTGCCCGCTGTGGGAGGGCTGGGTTAGAGACAGAAAGCCACCTGGAGGGGGCAGCCCGGTAGCAGTTCATGCCACAGGATGTCTTTTAAAATGTTGTCTGAGATAGGAAGAAAATTTGTTGTCTGAGATAGGAAGAAATAGATCTTCCTTGAAGGCCCAGGTTCACACACATACACCACGTCGTGAAACAGTACTTACCTTATTAGATATCAGCTATGTGAGTAATTTCTGTTCTACCCTGTTTTACTGAGAACAAACAGGGGGAAGAAAAATAGTTATAGAACATGCAGTTTGCAGAATATGTGAATAATATGTGTCGGCTCCAAGTGTGGTGCCCCGAGTTCCCATCCAAGCACTTGTCCTGGCCTTGCTAGTAATGAAGAAAATCTGGTTTGCCACAGTGAGCCCTTGTAGCTCACGTGATTTGGTGAGAAATTCTTCTAGGCTGCCTATGACTAAGGGGGAAAACTTCTCAGCCTCAGGGAGAGAAATCAAGGAACTTGTACCTGAAAGTGTATCATAGGATGATTCCAATAATGTACATGATTATGGGGTTCTCTGGAACTTCCGTTAAAGAGCTCTAGGCAATCCAGGTATAAGAATCGACACTCTAGTTTACATGTATTGGCACAACCTCGTTGCTTCTAATTTGCTCAATAATTCCTGAGACTCAGAGAGGTATAGTAAGATAACAAAGCCACACAGCTGTTACATGAAAGAGTTGCAGTGGAAACTCAGAGCCTAACTCTAAGGCCTGAAATGGTTTACTTGCTTGACCTTTCTTTTCCTTTTTTTTTTTTCCCTTGATGATAAAAATAATGGGAATAAGCCAGAGGCTGCGTTAACAGGTTTCTCAGTAGAAGTATGTTTTCCTCTGTGATTATTTTACCAAGAGGAGAGGGCAGGACTTGGGCCTCCTGACCAAAACACACCTTGATTTAGCTTTGACTACTTCCAGCTGTCTGGCTTTGGACCTAGAGATCGTTTCTGAGTCAAGACAGTGGAAGGCTGGTTTAGAAGTCAGAACCCTGGAGGGCCTATAAAGATCTCTGGATATGCAGAGGCCCACATCAGTACATAATTCTTGGTGTTATGTCGAGAGAAACAGCCATTGAACACCAGGAACTTGTCTCTCCAGCAGGCAGTGCAGGCCTGGATAAAGGTCACCCGAAGATTTCCACCCCTATCTTAAGAGTAGGTCTTTTGTGACTGCTTTTCCTTATCAGTGAATTCATCTCCTCCCTCAGCAAACTGGTGGAAATGGGAGGCTGCTATGGCCCTCTCTGACTTCCTAGGGAGACCCCGAAGTCATGCTTTGCTGGTTCAGTGGGACAGTCAGGACACTGATGGAAAGAGATGTATCTCACATTCACTTATGAGCAAGTCCCCTCAGAAACTAAAATCTTTAGGGGCTGAGGCTTAAGATCAGATAAAGAGCAAGTTCAGCTGTCCCCGTGTGTGTCAGATCACCAGGGGATCCTATGCACGTACAGGTTGTGCTCATTTATTATTTGGAGGGACGGCTGAGAAGTTGCAAGTTCCCTGGGAAGAACGTGTATTTCCTGCTCCCTCTTTGGCTCCCTGATTTGTTTGGAACAGTTTCTTTTTTTCCTTTGTTCTTTCTCTCTCCCCTTCGACTGGCAATGTTCACATCATGATGTTTGCGTTCAGCTTGTAGTCTGAATTACACGTCTCCCCCAGCCCTACTTATTCTTTCCTGGTTCTGTTAAAACTACAATAGGAACAAGGGATTGCAGGGGCTCTGCCCTCCCCATACAGCAAAACATTGGGAAAACCCTAATTGTCCTTTACACTGGAATTTTTTAAATTCAATGTGGTATTCTATACACCTTCTAAAAATACGAAGTAGATTTATATTTGCTGAGATAGAAAAAAAATGTTCCTCCTATATTCTTAAGTGAAAAAATAGGTTATATAATAGGGGCTAGAGTAGGACCCTGTTCTTCACCTAAAAGCAAATAACAGAAAAAATGATAAACTATGATAAAAGTCCAGAAGAAAAAATAATGGTATTTTTAAATAGTTGGATTTTAGGTAATTGTGACATTATATGTTTTTGTCTTTATTTTTTCCTATCAGTATATAGTATTTTTATAATTAAAGACAATAATAAGGCTGTCTGCTTCTTGGAGGAAAGTGAAGAGAGTAAAGACAATACTTGATAGTCTGTCATTTCCATTGGAGAGTGTGTAGATAGATGTACCATGACTTCATACATAAACCAGCTGGACCCAGGCACAAAATCCCGTTCTCTAAACACCCACCAGGGAGCTGCTGACCGTCTGCTCATAGTCAACTGACCTACCAGGACTGTGCCAGCATATACAATTTCCAGCTCAGAGCACCTAGCTTTATAGAATCCTGAGGAAAAAGAAGCCACACACAAAAGAGTACATAACTGTAGGATTCCATTTACATGAAATTCTAGAAAGGCCAACATCGTTCCTAATGGCAGAAAGCAGACCAGTGATTGTCTGAGGAGGAGGGTGAGGCATTGACCACAAGCAGTCTCTTGGGGGAACTTTCTGGGCAGATGAAGATATTCTGTATCTTGCTTCGGAAGACCTGGCATTTGTGTTTGTCAAAACTCAACAAGCTGTACACTTAACGTGGGTCATTTTGTTCCGTATCCGTTATATCTCAATGAAGTTGATTTTAAGGAAAGCAGCCAGTTTGTGCAGAAAAGCTGGAGCTCTTTCGTTGTCCAAGACAGAGAAGCCAAGGGTCCCCCAGAAAACCTAGCCCTGCGAATAGAATCACATCCCAGATTTGCTCTTGAGGGAAACCAAAGAAAACAAAGTTAAATTGTAAAACAGACTTACTAGTTGAAATCTAAGAACAGGGAAGCCCATTACGTTTCTTTAATTCAGTAAACCGTGTGGGTTTAATTAACTTGATCTTTCCTCTTTCCAATATATGTGAACCACGGTTAACATTTTGATGTATGACTTCCATGCTTTTTTCTGACTTCATTGTATTTTTTAAGCTCTATGTTATTTCCTTCAAACTTGGAGAAGTTTCCTCTTTCCAACGAAGCAAGCCACAAAACGTTATCTAAAGAGGAGATTGGTCTTTCTTAGTCTCTTTGGCAGGGAAGGGGTGGGGCAGAGAATGTTCTCGCCTTCCATGGAGGATGCCTTTCTTTCTGGCCGGGAGCTGGCCTGATTTCTCCCGCCATCTTCCTGCACCCCGGCGTGGGGAGGCTCCCTTGAGAGTTACTCTTATTTTTAGCTCTGAGCAACTCCGACAGCATTTCCAGAGCCCACAGTTCCCTGCTCCCATCTCATGCCCCTCATGCAGCTGGGGCAGCTCGGGCCTACCGGGGCGGAACCCAGAGCCTGCTATGGCGGCATGAGCTACCACGGGGAAGAGGAGCATCGAGGCGGACGACTCCGAATACGAAATAGCAGCTCTCAAAATGGTAACACACCCTTCTTTTGCAGCCTGCTGCCAGATGCTGGAGGTGCTCCTCAACTTGTTGATCCTGGCCTGCAGCTCTGTTTCTTACAGTTCCACAGGGGGCTACACGGGCATCACCAGCCTGGGGGGCATTTACTACTACCAGTTCGGAGGCGCTTACAGTGGTTTCGAGGGCGCCGACGGGGAGAAAGCACAGCAGCTGGACGTCCAGTTCTACCAGCTGAAGCTGCCCACGGTCACTGCGGCGATGGCCTACAGCGGAGCCCTCATGGCCTTCTGCTGCCTCCTTGTCCTCCTGGGCGTCCTGCGGGTCCCGTGGCACTGCCCCCCATGGCTGCTGATTGAAGGCTTGTTGGACGTGCTCATCGCAGGGGCCTATGTCCCCGCTCTGTACTTCTACTTCCACCAGCTCTCGGCTGCCTATGCGTCCCCAGTGTGCAGAGAGAGGGAGGCGCTGTACCAGAGCAAAGGGTACAGCGGCTTCAGCTGCACTTTCCACGGGGGAGATATAGGAGCTGCGGTCTTCGCCATCCTGAGCATCGGGCTCTTTGCTTTGGGGGCTGTGCTGGCCATCCGAGGTTACCGGCAGGTCAGGAAGCTCAAAGAGAAGCCTGCAGAGATGTTGGAGTTTTAGGCCTTTTAAGCCAACCCGCCAAATGTCAGTGGTGGAAGTTACTCCGAACCACTGTCTTTCACGGAATACTTGGCCATGGGACTTGCCTGCACTTGAAGAGGGTGGGGCCAACATCGGTGTCCTGGGGAAGCTCCAGGTTACACAGAGCAGCCTTCTCTGAGGTTATAAGTTCTCAAGTCCTCTGCTGGTGATCGAGTCAAAGTTTGAAACAGACCAAAACTGGAAGTCAGGACCCATGAGGAAAAGGCACGGGCTGTAGCAAAATGTACTTTTGATTAGCTCAAGGGAGATAACCCTGTGAATCTGAAGAACCTTATCTTCCAAGTTGGTGGAAAGCCCTATACACCGGAGACAACATTCCGGCTTAAACTTTTGTAAACACAGCTGTCTTAAGCAGATGAGCCCCAAAGTTTTTCCACACTGAGGGCTTGGATCCTTCACTTCCTTTATGCTCTGCAGGCAGGGTGTAGGGAAGCTGGGGAGCCTCCGCCTGTAAGTTGGAGGTAGGCGTGGGCCAAGCAAAGAGGAATCAGATTCATTCACTGGGCTGCAAAGAAGCTATTCTAACAAGCCCCTTCCAACGACCTTGAAAACTCAATAAGTGTTTTGTACCTCTTGTAAATGTACCATTGTACGGAGAATTAAACCCAACATCTGGAATTCAGGATCCATCCAGAATAAAAGAATGTAAAATCTTTTCCAACGAAGAATGCAACTTTTGGCCAGACAGCTTCATGGGTTCTTACTGCATGTTAAATTGTGACTTCAGGAACATTACAGCATATTCTGGGTACAAGTGAATATGATCTTTGCTTTACGTAAATCCAGTAAGAGTCCAAAGAAAAATTTTAACTTGGAGGTGATGCTCCTCTTTACATTTTTAACAGTATACCCTTAAACACAGGCAACTTGTCATATTTAAAAGGTGAGTTCCATTTGGGTTTAGAAAGTGAAATAAATGCTTATCTATGATTAGACAATTTCTTGAAGAATACATAAGAAAGCATGAAGAGTATTGGCTTCTGGAGAGAAGGAGATTTTATTTTCCATTTTAGCATAGCTTGAGTGCATGTTTCAATTTTATTTTAGAGAAATAAAAAACTTGATTTGCTCCCCTCTTTTTTCACATTTACAGGGCAAACACAGAAGTAGATGTCTAATTAAGCGGGGTATTACATGATCAGCCACAAAACCAGCCTCACCCAAAAAGACCCCATAAAAAATAACCAAAATCTCATGTCTGTTTTGGTCTCCACTTCCCTCTATAGAGCCCTCGCTCTGCTCTCTTTCTAGAGACTTGTCCCATCCTAACATCAAAATAAACTGCTGGTTCCGGCAATCACCCCTGTTCTCTTCTGAGAGCTGTGAATCTTTCTGCGCTAACAGCAAGGTTAGAAGTACAGGAGCCTGGGGGTGCCTGGGTGGCTCAGTTGGTTAAATATCTGACTTCAGTTCCCATCACCATCTCAGGGTCCTGGGATGGAGTCCCTGCTCAGTGGGGGGGTCTGCCTTTCCCTCTCCCTTTGCCCCTCCTCCTGCTCGTGCTCGCTCTCAAATAAATAAACAAAATCTTTAAAAAAAAGAAGACGAAGAAGAAAATACATGAGGCTGTTTGATATTAATAGCTAAGCCAGGCCAGGCCTGCCTGGCCTGTGATGGTACTCAGTGGCCATATTCCTTCAGCAGACCCAACAGCACTGGACCCGGCATCAGACCATTATTCCTCTCAACTGTCCTATCCGGAGGGTGGAGGGTAGTTGACAAGATCTAGATTTATTTCATTTCAGCCCAGCAGATACATGCTTGGATCACGACTGCACTGTTTTGGCCGAATCTGCCTCAGGAGGAAGCGTTCAGGTTTCTCCATCTTGTAGCAGGACAGTATTCCTGTCTCCTTCGGGGGTGAGATGTTAACCTGCGTGCCGAAGGAAAACCAAGGCAGAGAAGGGTATTGGATGCGGGGGAAAAGTGCTCCCCCTGAAGTAGAGCGATGTTTGGGCCAATTCACTTGTTCTGCTCTGGGGAGCAAGTGGCCAGTCCCTTACAGGGCCTGGGTGGTGAGTGGGCAGCTCTGATCTGATGTTAATTTCAGATCTAAATTAGAGGAATGTAGCTTGTTGACTGTCAGAGCCTTTGGCTGCTGTGTCCCGCAGACGTCCCAGGAATTCGTGTGGGCCTGGCAGGAGTTAGGACCACCCGGCCCAGGAGATGGTGCCTCAGTCTGTTAGAGAGACTGGTATTTCACTGCCCAGTTTTTAAATGTTATGGTACTCCCCAGGGTACTAGCGAGGCTTCCCGATTTCTGGGAAACCACACTTCTCATAATTTTTCTCATTTCTTGAATCTCTCACTAAGCCCCTTCCATTGTCTAAACGTTACTGAGTAGCATCACTCTCCGTTTGCATTCACATTTTATGACTTTCCGAATATTTACATGTACTTGCTTTCACCAGGGCCTCAGCCCAGCCCTGGGGGATAAGACAGGCAGGCACCACTTTCCCTTGTCAGATGAAGTGCGTGAGGCTTCTGGTCCGGGCAACATCCCCTGCAGCAGAGTTTAGGGACGGGAGCCCACCGTTCCCACTCTAGGTCCATATGCTTCTCTCTGAGTTCTATTCTCTGACCCCTGGAACATGACAGGTGACATTCTTCCAGAAGTACACCTAAGCAGAAGGCAGGGCCTCTGTTAATGATGAATGAAAGCTGACCTTGGATGAGAAGATACTCAGTGTCCAGTCACCTCTCGTTTCCTTAAATGCATAAGAAACCCCCAAGTGAACAGCCCACGTATTGGTCAGCTGAAGAGACCGGTCTGTCCCCACAGTGGCATCGGAGCCCACATAACGAAGTTTGTGGACGCTGTGGGAGCAGATCTGAAAACACCTCCTAGAATAGTAAATGAACAAGACTCAGAACAGCGTGTGGGGTATGCTTCCTGGTGAAAAAAAAAAAAAAAGGCAGGGAAGTGGGGAATGAAATGCAGATTTGAGTCTGCTTTTATATGCATGAAAGAACACTGGAAAGTTATATTAGGAAATAATGAAAGTGGGTGGGGGCAGAGAACAGGATGGTCAGGGACAGGAGTGATTTTTCCCAGTGTATTCCTTTTTATGTCATTGTTTAGTTTTTAAAAAAAAAAAACTTTAAAATTTTAACTATAGATTCAGGAAATGGTAACAGATGCGCCCTCTACCCCGTGTTCCCTGGGGCTCCTGTCTTGCGTCACCGGAACACGGTGCCGGCAGCAGGACACTGACGTTGGAGAGCTGTGGATTTCACCGGCTGTACTGCACTTGTGTCTGTGTGTGTGCACACTTCCGTGCCATTCGGTCACACATATCTTCACATCACCACCACCACCATGATCAGCGGCAGAACTCTCCCGTGCCGGACGTTGCTAGGGCTCCCCCACATCTCCCCATCTGCCAACAAGCATGGGTCTGTGCTCACTCTCCAAATTGTGTGCTTTGAGACTTACATAATAGGAATCACACAGTGTATAACCTTTAACACTGGCTTTCCTCTGCTCATCGTAATTCCCTGGAGATCCGTCCGAGCGGTCGTGTGTCTCCGCAGCTCCTTCCCTTGGACCACTGAGTGGAGTTTCCCGTAGCATGGACGCATCTGACTGCTGACCCTTCGCCTGCGGAAAGACATCTAGATTTCTGATACGAGGCAATGACAGATAAAGCTCCTGTGAGCTTTCATGTGCACAGTTTTGTGTAGACTTTCAGTGTTTCTTTCTTTAGGATAAATGCTCTAGGAGTCTGGTCTTAGGGTCACACGGTACGTATATATATAAATATGTTTTTTTAAGAAACTTGACAAAATTTTTTCCAGAGTGGCATTTTGTTTTTTGAACATGTGAATATTAAGAAAAAAAAAAAAAAAACCTGGGGTTCCTGGCTGGCTTAGTCAGTAGGGTATACAGCTCTTGATCTCAGTGTTCGTGAGTTCAAGCCCCATATGGAGCATGGAGCCTGCTTAAAAATCCATCCATACATACATAATATATCAGTTTAAAAAACAAAACCAAGGATGTTAATATTGAATCAGATCGTGTCCTTAAAAGCAGGGCACCGGCGGTACTTCTCGAGTTTAACCTAGACTCTTCTGGGTGAGTGATGTCGATGTTAAATCCCAAATCTCTCTCCTCCTAGGTGTGGTACAGATAGTGGAGGTGATACTGAATGGCATGGTTCTCATGTGTGTCGTGTCCTCCTACTTTGTCCTTGCTGGATTCACTGCCACCTTCACCAGTGGTGGCGGCTTTGGGAACAACTACTACTCACCATTCGAGGGCACCGAGCTGGAGCAGGTTCGGCAGCTGGACCAGAAGTACACAGTGCTCCGGGCACCCCTGATCTACGGGGGCGTGGCTGTTTCTCTGGGGCTGGGTGTCCTCACTATGAGTGTTTTACTCCAAGGAGCCAAAAGTCTTGAGGAACTGTCGGGGAAGTGGCTCCTCCTAGAGGCCACCTTCAGCCTCCTGGCAGCGGTGAGCTACGGCGTGGGCACCGGCATTTACCTCCACGTGGCCTTGCAGATCAATTCCACGGACACTTGCAGAGCACGAGAGAGGCTCTATGCCCGCAAGGGTCTCACCTGGATGAACTGCCAGTTGGCAGGCACGGACGGGGCGGCAGCCACCTTCGCCTGCCTCCTGGTGCTGCTGTACGGGGCCGGCGTGGTGCTGGCCCTGCGGAGCTACCGGGAGCAGAGGCTCCGCAAGGAGAGCCAAGCGCAGCACAGCAGTCACAGCGATGCGCCCGAGTACCTGTGGTCTGAGACCCTCTTCTCTGTGGGCAGTCCACATCCCTGTTTCTCTCAAGAAAAGGTGTCTTTTCAAATGACACGTTAGACAATGGTGGTTTTCACATAATTGATTTTGCAAATGGTCCCGTCAGGACACCTGGGTGGCTCAGTGGTTGGGCATGTGCCTTCAGCTTAGCTCATGATTCCAAGGTCCTGGGATCAAGCTCAGCAGGGAGTCCGCTCTCCCTCTGCCTCTTGCCCCGCTTGTGCTCTCTGTCTCTCTCTCTGACAAATAAATAAACAAAATCTTGGAGGGAAAAAAAAAAAGTCCCACCAGTACCAGCGCAGAGCTCCATGATCATCTCCGTTTTCTATCGAAAAGTCTTCGTTGGCTGAGAACTTGGGAAAAAAAAAAAAGAAAGAAAGAAAGAAATCACCTTTTGCAGCAAAGAGCAACATCCAGAGTCTGGGTACACTGCTGCGGTGATGGTAGGATCATGATACAGAACCAAGGAGCCAGAGAAATTCAGGAGAGAGGAGACCTACACGTCCAGGGTAGTAGGCCCAGCGCTACAGCAGAAATACTCTTGTCTGACATGACTACCTAAAGTCACCGAAAGAAACCTGTCTTTGCTCCCCGTATTTGGTCCCTGGGGAATGATTTTAAAGCAGCTGTATGACTGAATTCTAAATGAGTAGCTACAGTCTGATTCTCCTAGAAGGAAGCCACCATGACTGCCTGAGTCCCAGGAGCCATCTTCCCTTCAAGGCGGGAGGTGGGACTCCTGATACATGAAGGTAGATGCCGGTAGTGTGCGAGTTCCTCCTCACAGTTGGGCTGAGAGAAAATGGGTTTTTGCCAGCATTCCAAGCTCCTTGTTTTTGTTGCAAGCCATTCATTTGGATTTCACATTCCTAAAATATGTTATAATTTTCTTAAAT